ATTGTAAATGATCCGCGTATTTATGAAGTATTTATCCAAAGGATGTAACCTAGTCAAGGAAAGTAGCTCAAATTTTTGAAAAATTTATCATACTGATGGATAATTTTGGGTTAAAGATTGTATTTGGTAACCGAAATTCAGTTGCATTATATAAAATTTACAATGTATTTTACAAAACTAATTGTGTTTTAAGAAAATGTTATTTATGTTCGTTTAAGGTATTTTTGTTTAAATTTGTTGCCTAAAATTTCTGGGAATTTTATTTTCATGTCCTGCGCACTATGAATTCACCTCAGTAATTCTTTTTCCTATTAGTTTACCCAGTTTCGAGTTGAAAAATCTTTCAAACATTTAGAAAGCAATTTGAGCTGGGGCTAATTCCGCCGGTCTTTTCATGGGCTTAGTCTCGAGGGAAATTGTTTGTTATGAGACTTTCTCCTCGATCCAGGCGGATTAATCGTCCACTTGATCAACTTTCCACAAGGACCACTTCGCTTAAGGATTATTTAGTCCTTTCACATTTCACGGCGAATATAACGGCACGAAAGTTGTTAAAAGGTTGAGAAATAAAAGCGTATTTGCTTCTCCATTAAGTAATGATGCTCGTCTTGCAGAGAGGCACATCACAAGGGCATTGAAAACATTGTAAAAAACCGTAAATTCCGTAAACTTACAAAGTATCTATTTGAGAATTGGGTTACAATTTTTTTAAAAATTTACTCAGATCAAGGGCGCCTTTTTATTTGGTAAGTGTTTGTAAAATTATTTTATAAATTATTGTACGGTCACCTTTAAAAAAATTAGATTCGCAGTTTTTCCAAAAAATTTGATTATGGTGTTAAAATTGTTCAGAGCCCGTCAATTCACTCAAAAAAATCCTGCCATTAAAAAAATGATCTTTGTTACGAACAACATGTCAACAACATGTCAATTTCCTGGGCAAATTTGTGAATAAATATTTTATTTTTTTCGAGCAAAAGATTGAGTCTCAAAGCTTTCCAGATAAATTAATTGTGCAAGTTAAACAGTTAAATTTACAAGAGCCATTGACGTTAATACGCCCACAATAGAGGGGAAAATTTTCTTTAAATAAATTTAAAGCTGATGAAGTCAGAGGATGAAGTTACATAATTGAAGAGTGATACTCAAACAAAATAATTTATGACGTGTGTCTGTGTACATACGAATTTGCATGCTTGCTTTCACTTATGAGTTGCACAATACGGATATGTATGTTCATACTTATTTCCGAGATGAAAGCCTAGAGGATTGAAATAGACGAGTTATGCATTCCATGAAAACCACGGAGTTGCGAAACAATTTAAAAATTCCTTTGTGAATTTATTTATTTAGAAATGGGGGTGAGGCCGAGCTTCAAACAACTCGTGTTTAATGTGTGCCTAAAAATGGAGGTCTCACAGCGTATGTACTCTGATTTTGAGCAGATTAGTGTCAATTTATTACAATTTTAATTAATACGAAATCTGTAAAAATTCTTATAAAAAATTCGAGCTATGACGATCGCCGTATTTTGAGTTAGTTTTTTTAAATAGATTTAATGCAGGACGTATATTGAACAGGTATTTACATAGGTAATTATAATTCACGGAATTTAAGTACGGTTCGGTACATATAAAAACGAGTGAACCAAGGTAGCATTTTTAACTTTTTGAAAGGAATTGGAAATTTTGTTTTTAAATAAATAAAAATGCTGGAGTAAGACTCCAAAATGTAAAAAAAAATATTAATTTGATAGGAGAGAGATAATTTAGGTTACAATGATTCATAGTGTCCATTGGTCACAAACTTGATTCATGTGGAATTTTCAAGAAGCACAAGCTCCCAATGGGCACGTTTGGCATATTTGCTTCCGAAGAGGAGAAAATGCGCAGTATGTAAATTTGGAAAGTGCAAAATTTGGCAACTTTAAGATGCGTTTTCTCCTCTTCGGATGCAAATATCTTTGCCAAACGAGCCCATTGGAAGATCATGTCTTATGCAAATTGCATATTAATTACATTTTATTGATCGACCCTAATTTGCTAAAATCGGAGAGCATACGCTGAGAGGCTCCGAGTAATTCGGAGAGGCATGACTGACTACCTGATTGTTTGAACAAGAAAGGATTACATTTTATGAAAAGCTCCTCAAAGCTGAAAATATTTTCAGTTCCTGCTGAATTCCTGAATTCCGGAAACTGCGAAACGAAGTGAAAGTAAAATTTCAGTTTAATTTTGTAACTTTTACAAAAATAATTTTATCAAATTTAAACATGGCTGAGAAGTTTAGCGTTGCAAAGAAAAACACGTGAAATGTTTTCCTGCATTAATAATTTCAAAGAAAATTAGTATTTTGATATTGAGTCAATAAGTTGAACAGTCGATTGACAGCTTTGGAACTAATTCCATAAGAACAACTAACAACTAACAACTTTCTCACACACTACCTGTGGACCTTACTTTAATTATTTTACAATCAGCTTTTTACTATTTGGCTGCATACTTGCTCAATTGGTTTCTCTAAACCTCATTTTTCAGAAGTAATAAAATTTTTGTTTTTAATACCAAACATGAACGGTTCCATAAAATATCTCATTTTGTAAATTATAGAACACTACATTTGATTAAATCGAAATAATGAAATTGTATGGGTTGCACGGCTTAATTTTTATTTTGAAATGTTTAGTAGCAAATAGTGGTTTAGATAATTGTTTCTAGGCGTTTAGTTTAATGTCTTTAAATGCAAATGCGAATTTCTAAAATGGCATCAATTAAGTACATGAGTGTTAAGGTAAATACAAATTTTAATACTTTAATGTAAAATAAATGTTTGGTACCAGAAACTATCGGTGAAAAAATTTGCTAATTCATTTCCCGTTTTTCAGAGTAAATTTCCTCAAAACTGAATTTGCTAATTATTTCCAAACAATAGTTTTGCAGTACCAAAAATTAACTTTACATTAAAATGTCAAAAGCAAAATGCATTTATCTCAAAACTCATGAAGTTGATGCATTATAGGAATTTGCATTGAAGGCATTTAACAGGAGGCGTAAAGTGAGATTAGGAATCTGTGACGAAGTAAGACTACGGAAAAAACTGGGCTTAAATGTAAAAAGCATGTTTGCGTATATCTAGCATTTTAAAATATGAATTTCACATAAAATAAAATATAGCTTGAAAAAGTAAAAAGTTCTAAGGTGAGGAAGTGCACTTAAAAGTACTAAACAGCTCCCTCCGCTACCCAGATAATTTTACTTCGCCTGGGCTGTCTACTGCATGCAAAATATCTATTGCAAAAAAAATAGGTTGTAAATAAGTCGCTCAAAGAGTCACGCAACAAATCTAAAACAATGGTTGTCTTGCATTGTATAGTATAGGTTTAAAATATATTGGTTTATCCGAACATATATTCTGACTTGAATGTATAACGAGCAGGATGTCGAGCTAGTCATACAAATAATTAAATATTTGGGGACGGATGAACCGTATGTAATAATTACCACCAAATGATCATAATTGCTAATACCCTTACCACCCAGCAATGTTCCAGCTGGATATTAACCAATTCAAAAGTTAACTTTGGATCAAGAAATTAGATCTTTATTTTCTTACGTGACGCCGAAATATTTGCATGCAGTAGACAGCCCAGGCGAAGTAAAATTATCTGGGTAGCGGAGGGAGCTTGTTTAGTACTTTTAAGTGCACTTCCTCACCTTAGAACTTTTTACTTTTTCAAGCTATATTTTATTTAATTCTTTTTTAGGTTTGAATTTTAAAGGGTTTGAATTGAGGTTGAATTTTAAATGTAGAACATAACCACTATTGTACGGTATGTATAAGCAACATTTACACCCTTGCGGATATCGTTAATTCGTTCAAATTTACAGCATACGTTTTAAGTGTCAGTTGAAAGATATGAAGTTTTGATATTTCTAACCACTCTCAAATTTGTGCTTCGACTTATTTGTAAAGCTGTATATAAGACCATTGGTGACAATTTCTAAACGGTGACTTCAAAGAGTCCCTCCACATAAAAATTTTCCCGATTCCAGTTCGTATTCTTTCAATAGGTGCGAGTGGAAACCGGTGTACTAAATTACAACTCGATTTGATGATTTTGAGAAATCAGTATGAGTGACCCCATTGGGTCCCTCCAGATAAGAATTTTTCCATTCTGATTTCATATTCTTCGATTAGGAGCCACTAACAATCTGTGTACCAAATTTCAACTTTCTATGACAATTTTGAAATCTGGTGCATAGCACCCACTTAGATGACCCCAACGGATCAACCATTTGACCCATTTCGTCCACCTTCGAACTTGTTTCCTAACTTTGTCCAATATGCATATGGTAAAATTGCAATATCGTTTTCACGGACGGACATGACGGTCCCATAAGCCCAGACACGGGCTAAAACCATAAATTACTCCATGGCGAGGGTGTAACTATATAGTTACTATATAGCAACCACTCGGAAATTTTCGTTATAAGGAAAAGTCGCTGGTTTCTCAACCAATCGACCCAATTCTTGTTTCCCCTTATAGTAAAGTGGGGGCGATCTTTCATAAATTTAAATACCCAGCTATGTAGGTTGTCTCCTTCATACATAAATTGCGAAACGCAACCATTCACCACCATCAAAACTTTTTTTTTGGGAGCTAATATCGAAAAATCCCTAAAGATAGCACTAGATTATGTTCGTAATTGATTTTTTGCTCTCTTTATTTTTTTCTCTAAAACGCACCCCCTTGGCTGTAGGCGGCGGTCAAAGTTTTCGAGACCTGTCGGAATGCATACTAAGGTGTAACTGTAACTATAGTATTTTTACCTCACCTTAGAATTATTACGGAAAAAAATAGTAAAATATATCTAACTGAAGAAATTTTGAATTGAAAAACTGTACGAAAATTTAAAACCTCACAAAATTTCATCATAATTTTAATAAGTAATACCAATCGAATATATATACTAACTTTCTCATTTTTTGTGCGTTTTCAGGAAACCAACTTCAAAACTAATGTATAAAACACACCCTGAATAGAATAGAATTTTCTAAATGTACAGTTTTCGTAGTGTCATGACGCTCAAATGTGAAAAACGAAGAGAAACTTGAAATCACTGGAGACTTTGAACTCCTGGAGAATTAAATGAACATTAATGATATTTTAGGTGAAAGTGGTGAACGCGTATATTAAACAAAGAAAAATATTCGAGCGCTTATTAACTGAATATTGTGTGTCGTGAAAGTGAAAGGAGTTATTGAGAATAAGAAAACGATAAACTACGTAATTACGATGAAAATGGATCCCTGAAAACTGTAAGTAAGAAATTTTATCATTCACTCTTAGAAATCTGGTATAATGAGACAGGTATTCATTTCCCGGTATTAAAGTTGCTCCCGCTTGGTATTAAAATCATACCGATATGGTAAAAATGTAATACATAGCCATTTCTACACGGTATTATTTATCAATAATCAATACCACATTGATAAAGTTTTATATGAGCACCGCTTGGTATTGTTTTAATACGGGATTTCTTGCAGTGTTGCTATTCATTGGTTACACACTTCACAAAATGTTTGATAAGAGTTTACCACTAATTTAATCAGATTCTCATAACTTTCACTTTTTGTGAAACCACTCGGTCTTGAGGGCTGTATGCCAATAAATATTTAAGCAGCATGACAATTTTGCTACGCAATACGGTAAAGTGATCCACGGAGGAGAGGAGACATTAATCAAACCAGATTTACTGGGGACACTTTGACACGTGGTTATTTATCATTATTTTTCCTCAATGGCAAACCCATCCACCTAATTTTTTATGTTTCATCAAGTTGGAGAAAATAATTTTAGCAGGAAATGAGACACGATTTTCAGAATAATGCGTGCGCTGCAATGAAATAAGGGTATTGAATAGATACGCATTTTACTCGTCAATTTTGGGTAGCAGTGACATAGTTGAACACCAAATATTAATTTTACGAAGTGTTGTACTACAGAATATAAAATACTCAGGTCGGGTTTACTCTTTGGCAACTGGTAATGAATCATTACTGGCCGGAGTACATATGCGACTCTGCTGGCATCGGTAATATCGAGCGCTACGGTGTTCTAATATGTGGTAATGAAATATTTACCAGTAAGCAAATCAGTCCACACTACTCCGCCATTTGGGATCAATCTTTATTGTTGTTCCGAGTTAATTAAATTTTTGAAAATATTAGAATCTTTGTTAAAATAACGCATTCAATTCCTTAAAATGTATATTTCGGAAAATTTGACGTCTGCATTTCATGGTAATTTCGTGGTCAAGAACGTGTAGCTTATGTTCCTAATGGCGATCGTGCGGTTTCTACCACGAATTGATTCATGCCCTGTCCGGAAAACGATTAGGCACACGTTTCACATCCGGCCGAAATAATGGAGAGAAATTCGGCAACTTTCTCTCCTGAGATAATAATTGAGTAGGGCAGAATTTATATCGACTGGAAATTGAAATTGAGTCAAGGAGACGAGATTATCGCAAAATTCCTCTTCGACAAAACTTTTAGTGAATGGAATTTATTTTTATGATAAAAAGTCAATTTTCGTTTTCAGCAATAGTTCACATTTTTAGAAACTTTGCTATAAATAAAATCGGAAATATATTTAGTTACATAAGAATTTAAAATAATTTATGGGGGGAAGAATGCTAATTTAAATTTGGTCACCTTTTTTGTTTGAAACCCTTTTCCAAATAAAATTGGAAAGAAATGTATGTAATCTCGATTTCCTATCCGTGCTTCACCTGCAGGCATAATATTTCATTGTCACCATTTATTAGGTGAAATTCGGACAGGATAATTATATCGGATTTTTATTTTTCTTGATCATTGGCATCAATTATTTTTCAAAAGTTTATGTAATCATATTTAAGACTTTATAAGAGAAAATAAGAATGTGCTATTTTTAACAATGTTCTCTCTTCCTCTCAAATATCAACTTTTTCAGCTTTTTCCTCAGGAAGGAAAAGTGAGAGGTCTTTTTGTCATGGAGTCGAACTCTGTCATTTTAAGCCGACTTTAGCATACCTATTTATCCATCCACTCACTTTCTTCGAGATTCAATCGAGTCCACAATTCTGCCGAAAATGGATTTACTGTCCTTGTCTGAAAAATGATGTCAAACCTTTTCTCTAGCTTAATCTAACGACTTAAAAACTCATCGCGGAATGAGAATCTTTACAGAATCGATATTCTATTTTAGTTACGTAAATATAAGCAGGATTGTCACAAGTTAAAAAGGAAGTCGGGATATTTTTATGTGCATAATCTTACTATGAGGTTTATAAGAATCGGATTTGAATTAAAATTATTTACCAACTTGAGTGTGCAGGTACTTTTTATCGTTTGCCCTTTACAGTTGCCCAACTATTAAATTTAAGCCACTTAAGGTCAATGCCGGGCTAGTCAAAATTTTAGGCCCTCATCGTTGAACAAATTAATCTTTTTTTTCTATTTGTCATAAATTAATTTCTATGTTTAAGCTAAATTACGTTATTAAAGCTAATGATACACTCGAGTAAGATCAACTTAGCAAAACTGAAATCATGTACTAATAAACCATTGTAATATAATGGTAGTTTCCAACTATCTGATCTGACGAGGTGTAAAAGTGTTTGCGGAAAATCTAAATTACTGTTTTCGGCGTCAAACTCGACATTCTTTTGGCCTTGTTGAGTGCATACCTGTTCAGTTTCATTCACTTGACTCATTAAGATAGTGAATGAAAATGAATTTCCTGTCATTTAAAGAATGACTGAAGGATTCTGTCGTTTCGGATGTATGAGCGTGAATGATAGGATTTTTCACTTCTTTCATTTTTCACCCTACGCGTAAGAAATGAAGTGAAATGAATTTTAACGAAAATGATTTTCAACGGAACATGTGAATGGAAATCTTCAGTCAGAAATCGGGATGGCTGACTTTTGAATGAAAACTAAATGTTTGAAGAGGTATGGTTGAGTGTTGCGTATTTTGTTCGTGGATCGACCTTTCTCTTCAGTCACGATTTTAAAACTTGTTTTTCACATTAATTTATAAGCTATGCGTCTGATTTTCCTCATTAATGCAGAGTTGAACTGCTTTATCTGTCAGTCCATTAAACAAGCGGTGTCTCGGACAGAAAGGCAAAATGGTGCAAAAAATTGAGATTGATGGATTGTGGATACATTGGTTTAATGAGGAGGTAGAGATGTTAAGGTTTGACGCCGATAAATCCTTCTTGCAAAAATTACCATAATTTAATAACCAAAACAAGATATGCAATAATATGTATCCTCTCTAGATTGTAAATAAATGTGAGGAAATAGAAATAAAATGAGTCGAGTTTCACTGCAATGAGACAAGATTTTCCGAATTATTAGAATGAAAGACGATTGAGCGAATAAAGTTTACCATCCATAAATATTTGGGATATTTTTGTACACACAATTTTTAGCCCGGAAATTCAAATTTATAATGAATACCCCCAATATAATTGATTTAGGCTTTATAATAATAACACAGACGAGAAGGAAAGTTATTAACAATAAGAATTAGAGATGTGCTAAGAAGACGGAAATGTGGAGAAAGTTGGTTGGTGAAAAGTCTTAATTTCACTTTTAAGCTTCGCACCACTCGACTTTGGACTTATTACAAATATGACGCTAAACTTACTTTTGCTCGCAATAACTTTTCAACTTCCTCGTCATTCATTAAACTATTTAGCTTGATCGCAGAATTGGATTTAGTTTGTTTAACTGGTGGACTTTAAGTTGGGTCACACTCTAAAAAATCGAGTAACAGCCCTTGCCAAGCGGTGACTATGTGTGATTGTACCGCTATGGGAACAAATTTGTTACCATTTCTTACTAAATTTATTACCACTGTGCTGGGGATATTTTTTTACCCTTTATTTACACTAATTACCAGCGCGTTAACAAATTTACTAGCACTCGGTAGTAAATGTCCTTGTACCAAAATCTTAACCTGTATCTCGCGTATATATAATAATATTGTTTATTAAGCCCATTTTTCCAAAACTTGGTGAATTTAAAATTTGGTAGCGTTCTAACGTCAGTTAAAATATTTTCAGAATAATTTAGACATATTCTCATTTACATTTAGGTAATGAAGTTTTTAATTATTGTCAGTAATGAAATTTGGAAAGTAAGATGTATTCTAATTAGTATTTTACTTACAAACAGAAATATTGTAACAGAAATATTGAGCATTATACGAATTTTTTTAGAAGGCCGTCCACTTTACAGCAAAGCTTCACGAAACGGGTGATAAACTTACAAAGTGACACAACCAGTCGGAACAAAATATGATCAGCAATTTTAAAATATTTAGCTAGGAAATTTACATAAATCGAATTTCCGATGAAAGCTTCAAGAGTATATAAGGAGTGAAATGCGGATGAATTATAAATATGAGGCATTCTGTGTGCCGTTTTTTTAAACACCACTAAATATTTTTTTTTAACTGGGCGTTAGAATTTCTTTTTGAACATTCGTTATCGAGTGGAGCTTCATAATTTAAATATTGTACGTTAAATGATAAAATCTAGAATAATGAGCTCTCCACGAGAAATACAAAACACGATGCGCAGCCAATTTCCTGCAGGTGAAAAGAATGAACGATGAGGCAATAGAAGTATGTACAGTATAACGAGTCATCTATTATGCAAATGTGTTTAACATGTGAATTTCACTTGTAAAAGAAATGTCTCAAATTGGCTAACAAATCGAGAAAAAAGACAGCTAAATAGGAGCAAGTTTGCCCCCCACGCGCTTAATTTCGTCTCATTTTCTCCTACGTAATAACAGGACAAATCTAATTCAATTTCACTCGTTGCACCAACAACTGCCAAGTTTTTTTGTTGTTTAACCCCAACCAACGCGAAATATGACCCTTGTGCTGCAAGTTATTCATAATTATAATTGGAGAAATTGCTTGCAATTACATTTCCAGTCGACCCCGTGTTCCTCTAGAAAGGCAATAAATGTTCTCTGACTGAAGTGCGTATATAGAAATACATATCCCTCAATGTTTTATTAAGAAGGATTTCACGTACACAGATTGAACAAAAAAGGCAGTATTTTTATGTACTGTGGGAAACAAATCCACCCCGAGAAGCTGGACGTCTGCCAGGACACGCACGTGAGAACAATGCGGAGTGACACATGTCAGTGGGGTCAATGTCAATTCGTTCCGTGTGGGCTTCCACAAATCAAAACTGCCAACACGACTAAATTGGAAATCGAGACGGGATCTCGACTTGACTTAAG